AACGTGTGCACCATGTTTTTTAGAAGACTTAGAAGGGAGGCGTAAGAAGACAGTTTAATATAGTTCAAATAATATCAAAGCAGTAAATAAGCAGCAATTAGCACATTAGGCCCAAAAACACAGTAATATCAACAAAACAATAAAGCCAAGTACAGATTACATTACAAGCTCGAATTCTGAACCCTGAATCAGAGATTTTGGGTTCTTGTCCCCAGTAGAGTCGTCAGAGCTATCACGCCTTCTTTTTCCTGATGGGATAGGGAGTTTTTTCAAGTAAAGTGACATTATTTGAAATGAGATTATTTATTTAATTCAGAGTCGCCACTTGGGATAATTATATGGTGTCCCAAGTCACCGATTTATTTTAAATCCCAAATCGAGAAAATTTGACTCAGTTTAAAAGTCTTCGAACCAGAAAAACTAAGTAAGGAATTCTGTTAACCCGGGGAGAAGGTGTTAGGCATTCTCGAGTTCCGTGGTTTTAGCATGGTCACGTAGCAATTTATACATGGCCTACTCTGTCTAATCACTCATTTTAGGACCTGTGTTTATTTTCACCTTTTACCGCTATTATTCACTTGATAATCCATATTTAAAGAATTAACTTAAGATGAGTTACGCGTACGTATACTCAATTCCTAACACTCAGTTTATTCTAAAAAAAGGTTTGGTCAAAGTTGCAAATACATACTTTGAATTTATTTGAAAGAAACATAATTATGATTACAATTTAAGAATCGCACCTAAAGTATTTCTACGAATAATTGATTAAGGCATTTTAATTAGTAAAACGTTTGACCATGGTCACGCGAACATATACCTTGGTTTATCTTTAGCATCACAAATATGTCACGCATGCGTATACATAATTGTAATAGTTAATTTAATTTAAAGTAGACCTAAAGTTATGATCATGTCTCTAAGCTAAATTCCCTATATAATGTAACTAGGTGTAAAGGTTCAATACTATGTGAGATATTCATTTGAATCAAATGATGCTAATAAATCGTATGATAACACTAATTCCTTATTGGCCTATTAGTGTCGAAATGAACATGGACTTAACGGAAGAGTTCAAACCCCATATGGTCTTGTGAGAAGTACTAGTAGGTCCATTTGACCCGGAGCTATTAAACGATCAGAGCATTGGGCTCATAGTCTTTCAATTTCAGGCCCATAAACAGGCCCAAATTCAAATATTCAAGGATTCAAATTGATAGCTAAATAATTTTCAGTCTACACAAAGGATTAGTCTTAAAAACCTCATCATATTTAAAACTAGTTTGAAGATTGTGCAAAAAATACTTTTTAGAACTGGGCCGCTTCGTTACTAGGCCCAAAAAAAATATAGATATTCTTTCCCAAAAAAAGGGTCTTTTCATTACTGGATCTAAAAACAAAACATCACGCCTACTAACTTTAAACAAAAGAGTGAATCTGCAAATTAAAAAAAAATTCTGGAGAAAAGACATTATTACACACTTGATTTTAAATAAACTACTATATAACTTGGCATTCAAAATGTTCAAATTACTACTCTTATATTCTGATTTACACAATTGTGGTTCTCCTGCCTGCCTTGACTTCAAACAACAAACACATATTCTAGAAGATAACAATATTGAGCCATATCCTCGAAATTGTTTGAATGTTAAGTATAGTTCATTATGGACTTTATCATATTCAAACTCAGAATCCAGCAAACAACACAAAACAACAAACAAAATAAATAGAAGGGAGTTTAACAGTTAAACATACTCGAGTTCATAAAATTAATCACAAAAATGGTTCGAACAAATCAAATCTCCATTTAAACATCCAAGTTAAAGATTACAGATGAACAAGACATACCTAATCAGCAGAAAATATTTGACAAAAGAAAATAAGTGTCTGGATTTGAGAAGAACGAACAGTAGGAAACCAAACAGCAGCAGAAAACCAGCAAGAATGAAGAACCATCAGTAAATGGAGTCAAGAAAACTCAACTTCAGATCCCAGAAAAGATAAAAGAAATATGCTTCTTTTTTTTCTCTAAAACTCTAAGGCTGGAATTCCAAAAAAGGTTTTCTAAAAATGAATATGCAAGGAGTGAGTCTCTGAGAATGCAGTCTCAAAATTAGTCTTAAGAGTCTGAATTTCAGAGAGAGTTTTTTTTGTCTAAATGAAAGAGCGTGTGTGCCCTTTTATAGAAAATGAGAGTGTCATTTTTTCAGAGAAATCACAACGTGTGAGGGATTTTTGAATAGGATAAGGCCAAAATCTGTTAGCCCTTTTTTAGGGATTAGGTACTTTTTATACCAGAAAATGGACAACTGTCCCAACAACTGTCTATACAGATTTTTCATATATTTTTAGGTCCTTTTAATTTCTAAACTTACCCCTTTTCACCCAAATCTGACCTAATTTCAGTTATTTTATTACACTTTAATCCCTCCTAGGATCTTCTAGAACCTTCTAGGCAATATATACTTAGACTCCCCCACTGCATCGAAGAGTACCTATGTACTATGTTTCGGTTCACTGATAAGGAAAATAGCGTTAGGGTGGGGGTTTACGATGTGATATTAAAGTATGACCGGGGGAGATATATGCTAACTATGGGTAGGAAGCAGGAACCATTATGTAAAAAAATTCGGGGAACCAATTTACCCCCTAATATTTCTGTTCTTACCCAATCCCTTCATTTAAACATTCTCTAAATCCTCTCTTAAACCCTCTTTTTTTGTTTTGATTTTCAGACTTAAATCAGTTGATAATTAAAATCACTAAACTCAAAAATAATTAATCACTTCAACTAATAAGTAAAATAGGCATGGACATAGTGATTCGAACAAACCAAGCTTATGCAATCAATCTATCAACTAACTAAAAAAATAAATAAGAGAAAATTGAAGACTGATACACAAACACAGAATTAATTACTATTAGATCCTATTCGAGTTAACATGCTAAGATCAAACGCTTCAATAACTAACAAACCTAAATAAAACAAAATTAATTAAAACAATTTGAAAATCACAGAGTCATTAAGCAAAAAAAGGTTAACAATCGTACTAAAACGACTCAAGTAAGAGAGACAAAGGGGAAAAGAAAGAAAAAAAATCATGGAAGAGAAACAAAAACAGTAGTAAAGATCTTACCAACTCTGAGTCAACACGGATGAGAAGAGCTGTGACGCCTAAAATCCTCAATGCCTAACCATCAACATGTCTTTTGTTTCAAGAGATCCGGCTTGAAATTTTTGGCTGGATCTTCTTGAAATGAAAAACTTGTGCAGGCTAGATGAATAGAGTGACTGAAACGGCCAATCAAAGGAGAAGAAAAAGAACAAATAAGAAAAACTAGGGTTTCAGTTTCTTAGATCTTAAATTGAAGGCGTTTGGCAGGGAGTTTAAGGAAATTGGTAGTAGGATAGTGATGAGGGGAGGCTGGAGATTGTGTGGTTAAATTTTGGGGTGGTTTGGAGTGTCCGCCGCCGTGAGCGATTTTCGGTGGGCGGTGACGGCGGTTGGCAACTGGGGTTTCTGTGAGTTGAGGGAGATAGAGAGTGAGAGATGGTTTTATGGTTTGGGGGGTCCGTTCGGACAATTATAAGGGTTTGAGTGGGTTAGTTCTCAGCCGTACGATCGAAGGAAATCAAAGGTTGGCATTGGTCGTTGCTAAACGGGGTCGTTTTGGTTTAATTGGGGGATTGGACCGGACTGGGTTATGGGAACTGGGCTGGATGGTTTGTGAAGGGGAATTTGGGTCATTTAGACTGGCTCAATCCAATTTAACTTCAAAAATAAGCCCCTTTTCCTTTCTTATTTTTTCTCTTTTTGACTTTAAAACATAATGAAATAAAACCTAAATTGAGTCCTAAATTAATCTAATTGGTAAAAACTAAAATTATTTATTTATTTTCTACAATTAATTAACTTAAAACTAAAGAAAAATACTAATTTTAAAGACTAAAAGTTTAAATATGTAAAAATAGTCATTTTTGTGATTTTACTTGATAATGTAATTTATTCCTAAATGCAAATAAAACTAAAATGTTATGCAATGAACTTTTAGACATTTTGGATATTTTCTTATAATTTTAAAATATTAAACATGCAACCAAAATGCAAACAACAATTAGCAAAAAATTCCTAAAAATTCTATAAAATTAAAATAATTAAAAACAAATCTATTTTTTTTGTGTGTGAATATATAGGAGTATTTTTCATCGAGCAAAAGTCACGTGGTCACAGAGGGCTATTACAGGAGATGGAGGACCCGTCACTTAAGTACATCTTTAGGAAGGCAAATGAAGTAGCAGACAAGCTGGCTAAGCAAGGAAGCTGCTCGGATGTTTTTGGAAGCCTAAATTTATTTTATTTCCCCTACTTTTGTTGTATCTACTTTTGAAAGAGACGAAGCGGGCACTATGTCGCCGAGACTTGTCTCCATATATAATAATTCTTAACTTTTTAAATTTATGTCTTCATTACCAAAAAAAACATAATAACTTAAGGTCGAGTGACCAGAAAGAAAATGAAACAATAAAAAAAATAAAAGTATTTCTAATTAAAAAGCCTGAGGGAGCAAGTGTGGATAAAACCCCTGACTTTGGAGGCAAAGGTGCACTCATTAATCATTAAGCCAAAGTGCTCACTTGAGCATGAGTTCATGCATGCTTATTTAAAAATGAAATCTAAAAAATACAAGTACTATACATAATTTAGGGAGGGAAGCAGGGATTTACGCGAATCCATCCCCTCCCATACAGATCCGCCTCTAATACAAATTATATTACTATATAAGTTTAGTACTATGCATTAATAAAGTGAAAATATTTTATACAATTAAGTTATTTAAATAATTATAAGTAAATTGATAATAATCTTCTATTATATGTTAAAATATACTATTAATACAAAAAAAATATTTATACTATTAGTGTATATAACTTAAATCACGTTTGAATAACAAGTTGAGAATAATCCCATTTCAACAGTGTGTGCCTGTCTGGTAAATAAAACAAACTCGTGGGAGTATAACGAAAATATCTTTCCTCGAGCATATAAAAAAATAACTAACTGATGACTGACGATCGACGACTGACGAAGCCATACGCTTCTGCTTACTGAGCACTGGCTTCGCAATTTCCGTCAAAGCCATTACTGCTACATCTTCACTTCCACATCTTCTCTCTGTTCGTTGTCATATTCTTCTCTCGTCGATGGCGTCTATATCGCCGTCGACACTCTGTCTCCACTGCGCATCCGCCGCATTCCACCACCAGCTCCAGCTGCCTTGCCTGCTCTTATCTCTGCCCAGCCACAAACTTGCTGCTTCCTCTAAATGTTTCCTACCGGTACGCCTTTCGGACTCTCGCGAGACCTTTCACCTTGCTGCAGCCAACACTTTGACGGCCAATTCTGTCCTGGTTTGCTTCCTTATCCAATTCTACAATCCTGATTGAACTCTTAGCTTAGGTTAGCTTAACTTAACTTAAGCAACTCTATTCTCTTTGAATGTACTTATATAGTAATTTGGCATATCTTCACCGGCACATACGAATTATAGGATTTGAAGTTTCTAGAAGGTTTAGAGTATTTGATAAACTTCTTAAGCACTTAAAACTTAACTCATTGTGAAGTGATAAAATGACTCTTAAATTATGTGCTGGTTATGATTATACTTATAATTTAAATTAAAAATTGTGATTTATTAATTAAAACCGAGACATGAACATGAAGTCGATCAATCATTAGCATTAAATAATTAACTATTAATGAACTTTAAAAGTTATCTCTATATGTGAAAGCTTAAAGCTACATAGTTACTTTCTGCATACGTGGATTTAGTTAACAGGCATTCATGCTTTTTGAAAAGTGCGTTAATAAAAAAGGCAAGTAAAATGTAGTGCTTCCTCTATCTAAAATTGACAATCCTTAACTCTTTTTTCAGTTATGCTAATAAAGTCAAAATGCATAAAAATCAGCTTGACCTTCAAATTTTGGATAGACTTCTAGTTGATATGGTAAAGGTTTGGCTATTCATTTACATGTGGTAAGTTAAAGCAGGGTGCTTGATATAAATAAAATTATGTTTTAAAATGATATTACTTGCCTGTTAGTCTTCTTCTTCTTCACTCTTCAACATTGTATTAGATGGACTTTTTGGAAAAATTCGATTTAATTCCAAGGCGGTAATATACATAATATAAAAATAAACAGAAATCAACAAGGTCAAAACCTTTGGCAATAATTTATTATATGGCATTCAAGGGATCCTTAAAAGTTTGAATAGTGATAAACTGAGTTAAAAAGTAAAAACTCAACAGAGCTTTGCATTCCCTTACCCTCGCTCCTAAGTCTAAAAGTTGTGACTTAAGGGAAACTGCATTCAATCTCATTTGATTGAGAGAAGAGCTCCATGTGAAATGTAGCAATTGAACTCAAGCAGTTTTAACGTTATTTCACAAAATTCTTGGCCAAAGTGAATATTCCCAAGGTTAGTACAATTTTGTAGTCATAGTTTCTTGGTATGTATTTTTATCCAGATTAATTTGAAGGTAGCCTCAACCTATGGATTGAGGTAGAGAAGAAAAGGTAAGGTTGCAATTTGGCATAGTTCAAATTTGAAATATGCGCAACATAACTGAATGTGGAGGAACCATGTAACTTTTTGCTATTACTTTCACTGAAAATGAGATAGGTATTTAGAAAAATAAAATTAGATATTTAGGAACTGCACTGAAAGCATTATAAATTATAATGGCATTTTATTTCAGAATGACCAGAATACGTTTAAATGTCTTATACAAAGATTTATTTATTTGACCCTTGGGAGCAGACATGGATTAAAATTTTGGGACAGAGAGATCAATATGTATTGGCTCCTCATGTGAATTTCTTGCTCACGAGTTGTTGCTTGAACAAAACTTGGTGCTAAATGTCTTGGATCTGTTTTTTTCCGAGAGCCCTTTTGTTTTCGAAAGTTAACAGTAAATGATTTGTCCCTTGCATCAAGAAGTTCCTTTTCCCCATGAATGTCCACCAAATCATAAGCTTTTCCACTTGTGGCAGCCCAGAAATGGTGTCTATACAGTAGGTGATTTCATGACTAGAAAAGAGGAGTTACATGTGGTAAAGCCCACAACATCAGTAGATGAAGGTACTTTTGTACTCAAATTTCATCTTTACTTGCTATACATGAAGTCTATCTGATACATGATAGTTCCTGCAACAGCCTTGGAAGCTCTAGTGGAACACAGAATCACTGGTTTCCCTGTAATTGATGATAACTGGAAATTGGTAAGTTCTGATTTGCAATATTAGCTGCTATATCCAGTGTAGATCCCACTTTATTGAGTGCAAGTACCCCCTATTCGATGACTCTTTCCCAGCTTATGTAGCACTTGTGAACATCTCTTAAACTAACTTCATACCTGAAAGCTAATTTGCCATTAAGTTTCAGTTGAATTAATATCATCAAAGCTGGGCATTAGGAACCTTTAACTTCTTTAAGTGTCTATCTTGTGCAAACTGAAGTTTGTTAAACACAGAAGATAATTTAGCATATCAAACCCATATAGATTACTATTGACACTGCACATAACTTTTGTTTATTAGACGGCTAAGCTAGTCATTTACAATGATGGAGGAATGTTCACGAATGTTAAAAATAGATCATCTAGTTACTACTCTGGAACTTTTAGGATAGTAGTTGCTGTGCATGTGATTGGGCATGACCATTAGGATAGATTTTTAATTTGCATCATATTCTAATCAACAAGCTCTTAGTTAATAATATGATAAACATACTAGAGACTAATTCATGTGCTTTAGCTCTCACACATTGATACATGCTTTTTCTTGACATGTTACATTAAAATATTTTAAGTCATAAAATTTGTAGATCTGTTATAGGCTTATAGCTACCATCCAAATTAATTAGTACATCAAAAGCTTTACTCGGGAGATGTTATCTTCTTCTCATTTAATGTGCAATCACATGTTTTCTTTTCTGGCTTATATTTGTGAATGGATTTTTAGGCTTATAGCTATCATCCAAATTAATTAGTACATCAAAAGCTTTACTCGGGAGATATTTTCTTCTTCTGATTTAATGTGCAATCACATGTTTTCTTTTCTGGCTTATATCTGTGAATGAATCATGTTTCAAACCACAAAGCAGGTAAGGAAAAGCTAATGCTAAAAATTCTTATGGCAACTAATATTTGTTTAATTCCTCTTCTCCTTTGTTTCGTTATTATAAGATGACAACATGAATCTGTTTTTAAAACATTGGTAAAGTAAATCTGATGCTATAGCGTCTTCTGGCAACAGGTGTCTGTAGAAAAGTTCTTTTGTTTTGACAGCTTATTACTTGAAATATTTTGACTGCATACCAATACGAATTTCTTCTCTAGCTTGTATGGTTTCCATCCACTTTTGGTAAATCAAATATTTAGTGGATGATCCTTTTATCGGGTATCTAGTATGCATCAAAACTATTAATTATGAGAAATTTATTAACTGAATAATGCAATATGTAATTGCAGTACTATAATGCAAAAGGTATGGCCACTTCTCTATAGATTTGATTCAGGATATTCAGTTCAAAGATGTGCTAAGGGTAATATTATTTTGTCTCATCAAAACACTCAAAAGTCAGAAGCTCTTTCTTGGTACAGGTTGGTCTTGTTTCTGACTATGATCTATTGGCGCTTGACTCTATATCAGGTAAATTTTCTTAAATGGTGATGCTATGATGATTTTCATGCGGAGATTACAACAAATTCTATCGGTATTTGGCCAATATTTTTTTCTGGACCGTTTTCGTTGAAACCTTGAACGTGTTTGGCAAGTAGCTGGTATGTTTGCTGTGGACTGGCATATGGAGAAATGGAATATAGTCCACTATACCCGTCTACAGACAATGTTTAGATTTTAAGTTTTGGGATTCTAAAGTCTTCCATAATTTGTTTGCCTTCATACTCCAGGCAAGCTTTATGTTCGAGATGAGTATAGTGCATCTCTTTCTTTTTTTTCCTTCGTGAACATGTACCAATTACATGTCTCTCTAGTTTGATCCCACCTATCTTAGTGGTGAACTTTCTTATACCTCGAATATTTTGGCATAATATTTGTGACTTGGAATGTCCGTCAAACAGGAACAAATTCCAAATCTTTTTTCTTGCAGTGTTTAAATATGTTGTTATCATATTTGAGGTTATACTCAGTTATAAACAGAGTGTGTTTAAATATGTTGTTAGCCTTACTTTATGGTTATAAGTTGAAAATAAATTATGGTTTCCTAATTCCTTATTTTATTTTGGATCTTTATGAACTCTAGCTAAAGTTCTAGTAAAAACTTGGTCTGTTCAAATCTTCTGGTTATAAGGTGAAAAATAAACTAAGATTTCCCTAATTCCTTATTGTGCTTGAACTGCTTTGGGACTTTTTATAACTCTAGCCGAACTCGTATTGAAAGCCTCTCTGGGGCTTATCTTCTCTCTTTATTTGGATAACATTATCCAGTACTGAAAGTTTATTTGGATTAAGAATATGTGGTTTGTTTTACCCCTTGTGAAGGTATAGTGCATTCCCATTCCACATGTTCATCTTATATTTCATTTATCCTGTATTTTGTTTTTCACTTTGATATCATTCTTGCCTTGAAAGCAATCTTTCCAAAAGCACAATTAGTTCTCTCTTGGTGTACTGTGCACTATTTGCTCTGTCCCCTTTAATTAGCCATGCAAGAAACATGTCACTACTGCACCAGCTTAGAACCCCAACCTCAGGCAGTGGTCGAATGATAAAAGGAGCAGTTGTTTTTTTCTTCTTTTCTACATCTACTTCCTTAGATTTTGGTTATCTGAAAATGGAATTTCCTGAAAAGATTCATTCTTGCTGCCTAGAAAAGTTCTTATATGGAAAACTAATTTACTTATGCAAGAGGAGTATTGATATTTACGGGCATCACAACAACTTGATTCTGTGGATGTGGGGCATGAAAGAATAGGCTTAACAGTTAACAGTTACAACATAGTCCCCTAACATTAAGTCCAGTTTGGATTGTTCAAGATTGAATTTTTTATCCCATTAGTTGAGTAATCATTAAGAAATTAGCATTTGAGCAGCTAACAAGCTGGCGTTCTTGATAAGGATGGAAGAATGGAACTTTCTTCTCTTTTCTGGTGGGTTTGTTAATCCTCCACTTTTTCTGTATTCCCCTTCTCCATTTGATTAAACTGATATACTAAAATACTGATATGATGTTAATTGTCCAAATACTTCTCTTAGGTACAGGAACAGTTGATGCAGACATGTTTCCTGAAGTAGACAGCAATTGGAAAGTAAGAAAATTTTAATGCCCTTTTACTGTTTATGGAGTACATACGTTTGTAAAAATACTTGACGGTGCTAATTCCATACAAATTTTTATTTTAGACATGAAATCCTTTACAAATATTTGATAAGAGTTTGCCTCACATGAGTGCCTTAAATATTCCTATTTCAACCACAAGAATTCAATATGTGGACTTCAAATTCATCGTTGCACACTGATCTTGCATATGGATGCTCCCGACTTCTAACATATCACATGAAGTCAACTTTGTGCAGTTTAGGTGTTTGTGGCATTGAATTCAGAAAAAAAAGGCCTGTTATTTGTAAGATGTAATTAATGGCTGATGAAACCTACTGAACTGCCTCTGGGTTTTGCTGTAGTATCTAATAATGCATCTATCCTATTTCCAATCTCATAATGATCTGTCTGCTGATTAGCTTCTATGGTCGTACTGAGTTCATCTTCTTACTGCGGGTTGATTGAGCATGGGTTTCAGGAAAACTTATGATCTTAAACCTTCCATGACATTTTTGTGGCTATAATTAAAAACATGCTATCTAGGGTAAATGAAAATTTTAAAGTTAAAATTGCTTTCAAATATAGAGATGTGTCATTCTTTCTACAACGGACTACTAAAAAAAATAGTGTCACATGAAATGAAAGTATTTTGACTAGATGCTCCATGTTTCCTGTTGTCCAAAAGTTGGGTCTGCTTCCCCAAAGATAGACCTTTTACCCTAGACTACCTTCAGTTCACTCCTGTAAAAGCAATTTTCAGGCCTTTCGGCGTCCTTGTAATGGTATTAATAAATGGGGTGGCTCGCTTGGAGTTAGCTTGTCATCTTTTTGCTGTGTGGAAGAACAGCTAAAATGCAATTGATTATGTATCATGTTAACTGCATCACACAGTATACCAAAGCTAATCAAGCTTTGTCTCATTCTGAATAATAATTGCAGACATTCAATGAGATTCAAAAGTTGCTGGGGAAAGTGGTTGGTGATCTGATGACACCTGCTCCATTAGTAGTTCGTGAATCTACCAATCTTGAGGATGCAGCAAGGTTCTGTCATTTATTTATTACTATGTTCCTTCCGTTCACGTTACATGTTGTCTTGCTTTTTATTGGATGAGACAGCAAACAGTTTAATGTATTTCTTTCTTTTACTGTCAGACTTTTACTGAAAACGAAATATTGCCGGCTTCCTGTGGTAGATGGTGATGGTAAGCTCCTCAAGCTTTGTTTTGTTGCATCTTCTCTAGCCAGTGATCTTTTAATCAATCAACTGTTGTTTAATGAAGGTGGGAATAATAACAAGGGGAAATGTAGTAAAATACTTTTGTACTACTTTAAAAAAAAAAGTTACATAAATGAGTAAAACGCAGTATTATACTGCGAATTACTTTAACGGAAATTTTGCCGTTAAAGTAATTCGCAGTATAGTACTGCGTTTTACTTAAAAAATTATTTTTTTTGTAATTCGCAGTACTATACTGTGTTTTACTAAGATGTTGGGCCCAACTATATTTTATTAAAGTTGTTCGCAGTATTATACTGTGTTTTACTTAAAACGCAGTATAATACTGCGAACAACTTCAATAAAATATA